CAATTTATTTCCCACTGGCGGTTTGAGTGGGTCGCGGGCTATGGAGACGGATATAACTGATGGCGAAATTTTTTCTGCTTTGCAGCACATGGGTTCTTTGAAAGCCCCTGGGCTTGATGGGTTAAATGCCTTATTTTTTAAGAAGAATTGAGACATTGTGGGACCTTCAGTTCGGGCCTTCATTCACCAAATTTGGCGAGATGGAACGGTCCCAAGCGATATCAATCATACCCTAATAGTCCTCATTCCAAAAATTGAGAATCCCGTATCTCTCAAGCATTTCCGACCCATCAGCTTGCTCAATGTCATCTACAAATTGTTCACAAAAGTGCTGGTGAACCGGATGAAGGGATCCTTGCCTGGCCTAATCAACCCAGCACAAGTTAGCTTTGTACCGGGACGCCATATTACCAACAATATTGTGGTCGCTCACGAACTAATTCACTCCATGCGCCACAAACAAGGACGTACATGCCACATGGTCATCAAAGTAGACTTGGAAAAGGCATACGACTTCCTTCGCTGGGACTTTATTGAAGAAACACTCCTATTTGCTGGCTACCCTACTGTTTTAATCACGACTATCATGGCTTGTGTACGCTCGGCATCCATGCGCTTGTCGTGGAACGAGACTTTGGGCGAGGAGTTCCAACCTACCAGGGGTGTTCGACAAGGCGACCCCCATTTCCCCTTATCTATTTGTATTGTGCATAGAACGATTGGCTCAAATTATTGACACAGTTGTAGAGGGGGGAACTTGAAGGTCGATTTCGGTGGGTAGGGGAGCTGTTGTCGTGCCTTTCTTGATGTTCGCCGATGACCTCCTATTGTTTCTGGAGGCAGCTGATGATCAGGCTACGTGCGTGAAACAGGTCCTCGACCTCTTCTGCAAGCTGTCGGGCCTGAGGGTTAGCTCAGAAAAAACGCAGGTCTTCTTTTCACGCAATGCGAGCCAGGATGTCCAACATAGACTGGCGAACACCTTACAGTTTAAGTGGACCGACAACCTGGGGAAATACCTTGGGGTGCCTGTTATCCACGGACGCGTCACCAGGTCGACTTTCTCGCACATTATTGATAAGGTGGAAGGACGATTAGCAGGATGGCGCATGAAAACCTTATCATTGGCGGGGCGTGTTACTCTTACCCAATCAGTACTCAACTCATTGCCCTACTACTCTATGCAGGTTGCCTTGATTCCGAGCGTCACTAGCGAAGGTTTAGAACGTCGGAGTCATGCTTTCATCTGGGGTGGCTCTCCGGAGAAGAGGAAAGTTCACTTGGTTGCGTGGGAAGACGTTTGTAAAACCAAGGATGACGGGGGCATGGGCATTAAGAATTTACGGAGGATGAATTATGCTCTCTTGATGAAGTTAGGCTGGGAGCTCGTGTCGCGCAATAACTCTCTTTGGGTGCGACTCATGGGAGCAAAATATGGACTCACCTCCTCGAATAAGCTAGACAAACCCCGGTGCCGACAGGGATCGTCGCTAATGAAGGCCATCTGCAAAGTCTGGCCCGATATGGTCGAAGAAGCTCGATGGATTTTGGACAACGGCGAGACAGTCCAATTTTGGCTAGACCCATGGGTAGGCAACCTCGGCCCGTTGCTCCATCATGCGACTCAATGGCCGCCGGAAAACACCCTCCACTTACCGGTTCGGGAACTCGTGGATGATAGGGGCAACTGGAGATGGGACTTGTTCCATGGTGTTCTCCCGTCCACCGTCATCATGCGCGTAGCCGGCATCGCGCCTCCAAGGGCCAGCGCTGGGCCGGATCGCATCTCGTGGGGCCCCGCTCACGATGGCAAATTCTCGACAAAAACGACCTATGCAACCATTCTACAGACTGAGAGAGACCCGAACAGACCTTTATGGAAATTGATATGGACTTCTTCAGTCCCGCAACGAGTTCGTACATTTTTATGGCTGGTAGCCAAGGAGCGACTTCTGACCAACTGTGAGCGCTTTCGGCGACATTTATCTACCTCGTCGGACTGTGAGTGTTGCGGTGAGTGTGAGTCTATCTTACACGTCCTGAGAGACTGCCCCGCTACTAAGGCTTTGTGGATGAGGTTACTCCCGGTGGGCGCTGTTCGTACCTTTTTTGCACAGTCGCTCCATACTTGGTTGAAGGTAAATTTGGGCAGGACGCACACGGGTTCGCATAAGCGCTGGGACTGCATGTTTGCGTTTACTGCTTGGAGCGCTTGAAAATGGCAGAATGAACGCATCTTCAAAGGCATGTCCCTCATCATCGAAAGCCGGTACCTGGACATAGTCAGAAAAACAGAGACATATGGCAAAGCTCTCGACGCCTATGCGAAGGTATGTGCGGCGGTTTACGGGCTTCAGATGATAAGTTGGAGTCCTCCGGAAGCGGGGTGGGTGAAAGTAAACACGGACGGGGCCTATCGCACTTCCACGGGCATGTGTAGTGCTGGGGGCTTGATTCGCGATGAGCATGGTCGATGGGTTGGTGGTTTTGTAATGAACATTGGCATTTGCACAATTACGGGAGATGAATTATGGGGATTTTTTCAGGGGTTACAATTGGCCTGGGAGATGAGTTTTCGCAAGGTTATCGCGGAGATAGACAGCTTGTGTGTGCAAAAAATGGTTCTTGGTTCAGACGAGAATTTTGGAGCTAATGAGTCACTGGTTCGCGCCATTCGTCATTTGTTGCATTGAGAGTGGAGCGTTTGGATTCACCATGTGCATAAGGAAGTCAACTATGCGGCGGATCACTTGGGCGGAGATAGCAGCCTCATCTCCTCTGGGTTTACAAAGGATCACGGCACCACCTTCAGGGCTCGATGAATGGTTGAATCATGATGCCCGTGGGGTAGCACATCCACGACGTGTCTTAATGTCGTAGTTTTACTTTGCTAGTTCGGGCCTTGCCCGCCTTTTCTGTACCCAAAAAAAAAAAAAGGAAAAAAAAAAACTTATTGTTGAAGAGGGCCAATTTTTCAATTATAGCCTTTTTTTTAATTCAATTATTTATTCGTTTTTATTTTCTCAATAGAATTAGTTAAATAAAATGTTTCTAATTATTAATGCTGGGGGGACTAGTGGGGTTCAGCTTAATTCATTGCGCGCGTGTTCAGTGGTTACCTTCTTTGGGATGTAAATATGATTCACTTTTGTTCTTCAAGGAAAATCATGATACCTGTTATATAAAATTACAATACATTATAATGAAATTGCTTAAATGTCGATAATATGAAGTAAATAAAATAATTTTTAATTTAAATAACATTTTACCAATATAAATATATTACGTATAACTTTTTCTTTTTTTTCAATTTAGACCTTTTATTAGGAGATTTAGGTCCGTAAATTCACATTATCCCAAGAATGACATATTTAGCCTATGTTTGGTTCACGGGAGGGGAGGGGAGGGGAGGGAATTTAATGGAAGGGAGGGGAAGGGAGGGAAAGGGAGGGAAAATAATTTACCTTGTTTGGATGGATTTTGCAGCGAGGGAGGTGAAGGAAAATGATTAACCTTGTTTGGTTAGAAAATGGAGGGGGAGGGAAAATAATGTTAGAATGACAAATATATCCTTAATGATGTAAGAAAAAAAAAATAAAATAATTCACAATAAAGTCAAAAGAGTAATTTGATGTTAAAAATTTTCCCTCCCCTCCAAATTCCCCCACTTTTGGAGGGGTGTGTATTTTCCCTCCTCCAAGGGATTTGAATGGAAAATCTTAATCCCTCCCCTTACTTAAAATCGAACCAAACAAGGGAAAACTAAAAATTTCCCTCCCCTCCCTTCCCCTCCCCTCCGTTTCCTCCGAACCAAACAAAGCCTTAGTGTCAGGGTGATGGTCTTCCACGAGTAAAAAAGTACTAGTGCATACTCCTATTAAAATAATAAGTTAGGACCCGATTGTTAGTCATGACTGGACAAGATTATGCCTCCAATCAATCCATAATCCTACGATTGTTTCCTCTGATTCCGGCCCGGACGATTAAATAAGGCTCACGATGCACAGTAGAAATATCGTGGGAAACCGGGATAAATTAATCTTGCCTTGGGGGTAAGATATCTTGTGTCTTAAAATGCACAATACAAAAGTCATGAAATTACAAACTTGTCCCTTAAAATAAAAGTTATTGACCAAATTAACCTCTCTTAATGCAAAAATTACTTCTTCTACCATTTACATTAAAGATAAACCTATCTAACGATCATACCGTTTCTATACAAGACTTTATGTTGCTATATATCAGACCACTTTTTTTTT